GTGAATACATATTCTTGTTAGCATATCAGTGATATGAATATAATCACTTTAATACCCAGGTTTGTCGCCCTCCAGACTGAGGGAGTGTAACATAGAGTTCATCTGTATTAATATGTGACTGTGTCAACATGAGGCCTAATTCAGGGAATTGTATTTTTATGACTTTCTTGCACAGTATGTTGCAAGATAGTTTTTTGTGTTTTTTACTGGAGCCCCTCCACAGACCTTATGAAAAGAACGGAAAAAAGCCTCCCACACAATGGACAATTTGTACAGACTGACAGTTTGAGGTTTTGTGTTCTTTCGACATATTTTGTTGTTATATATTAGTGACATGTTTGTGATGCTCTCTCTCTCTATGTGTGTGTCGGGGGAATCAGATGGAAGAGATGATCAAAGACATTCGGGAAGTCTTCATCAGTAACCTTGATGACCTGACCTGGATGGATGCAGAGACTAAGAAAGCAGCGGAGGAGAAGGTATTCGTTATAATTACCTGTCTGATGTTATTGTTTTGCTTTATATTGTGTTCTGTAGGATTTGTGGCGACTGAGGGCTGTTTTATCAAATCTTCTCTTCTTCTGTCTGTAGGCCCGAGCCATTCGGGAACGGATCGGCTACTCCAGCAACATCATGGATGACAAATACCTTAACAATGAGTACAAAGATGTGTGTGTCTTAAAAAATGCAATTATGTTTTTTCACTAAATTAATGTAAGAGAACACAATGTGCATTCATTGTAGCCACATATCGGTTCTGTGAAAACATCTCAGTGAATTCTTGGCTCTCATGAGGCTTGCTGCAGAATATATGACCAGGTGTTGAGAGCTCTCATCTCAGCTAATCCTCCTGCTTCTCTGGCTCTGTGTTGGTGTTAGCTGAGCTACAACGCAGAGGAGTACTTTGAAAACATCCTACAGAACCTGGAGTATGTGCAGAAGAAACGCCTGCGGAAACTCCGAGTCAAAGTCAACAAAGAGGAGTAAGATCCCCCAAGAGGGTGTAATTAAACTGATGCTTGACAAAAAGGCCTTTTCTCAGATGTGCAGTCATTTAAAGCTACAATGTATTTAATACACTAATAATATATCACTTACAGTATCCACCAGTGGTTTTTGTGGTGTAAAACACAAGCTTGCATGTTGCATAGTGCATTCACATTCTCCCACACAAACTCCTACTCACATGTGCTGTTGAGCCTTCCACTGAGCACAGCAGGAATGCTAATATTAGCCCGGTTTTTATTAACCACATGTTCATTTTAATACCTGTCATCAAATTTGTATGCTACACTTCACATTTCTGAACTGTTCTTCAGGTGGGTAACGGGAGCTGCTGTCGTTAACGCCTTCTACTCATCCAGCAAAAACCAAATAGGTACATTGACACGTGCACAATCTTTTGCAAACATTCATACGTGCAGTTATTTTAAAAGACAAACAAGGTTAATTGTTTTTTTCCCTCCTGGTGTCAGTGTTCCCTGCAGGTATCCTCCAGCCGCCTTTCTTCAGCAAAGGCCAGGCTAAATCTCTCAACTACGGCGGCATCGGCATGGTAATCGGTCATGAGATCACACATGGCTTTGATGACAATGGTATGATTTTCCACACTGTTGCTCCCGCATCCGCCCAGAGGCAGTTTTGCCAGATTACTTGTCTTTCTGTAACTGGTACCATTTCAGGAAAAAGTTTTCACATGCCATTTCTGGTTTCTTCCTCAGATCGTTTTTCACTGCACTCATTTTGAAATTATTATGTTCAAATTTCAAGATGTCAGTGTTATTTTATACTGATATCCACTACTGCAAGCCGCCCAGAAACACACAATGGAAATTAATGAAATGGAATGGAAGCATGTAATTTATTCGCTTGCAGCTTTTGAGTCTCAGAAAACAAGATAATAGGGGTTTGGGGCATTGAGATACATCACAATTGTTTTGTTGTTGATCTCATCCAAGCAGCTGAAGCTCCATGCATCTGGCCTCTTTTTCAGGCCGTAACTATGATAAGGACGGTGACCTGAAGGACTGGTGGACACCAGACTCCACTCAGAGGTTCCTGGAGCTGTCAAAGTGCATTGTCGATCAGTACGGCAACTTCACTTGGGACCTGGCCAACGGACTTAATGTAGGTCTTGGTGGACAGACACAATCTCTCTTTTTATCAAATGTTGTGTTTTATGGATAATATTTTCTCAAATATTATCCCAAACCTGGCTTTTGTCTTATTTTATGTCCTTTTACCTTTGCCAGTGTATCCAACTGGCAAAATCTTCTATTTCCCCCAGGTTTGCAGCCTCATGTCATCTCTGCTTCAAGTGTCTTTAATATTTTGTGTTGACATATCAATCCCTCTCCCTCTCCCTCTCCCTGTCTTTGCCTCTTCTCCTCTGTCCTATTGCTTTGAACAATGCTTCTTTTATTCCACAGGAAAATGATTTTCTTGATTCCAAAGAGCATTATTTGTGATTTGCTGAAATACATAGGACAAAAAAATGACAGCCTGTCCTTTACACTTGCCATTCTTTGTCATCTCTCTCCTTCTGTCCCCTCTTTAGTTAAATGGAAATAACACCCTTGGGGAGAACATTGCTGACAATGGAGGGATACGGCAGGCGTATCAGGTAATGAGCCTGAAAACAAAGACAGAAACTTGGTTTAGGAGTGCTGGTTTACAGATGAGGTGGGGGTGGTTTGGTCTGGGGTTTGTTTTCGTCATCAGTTTGGTAACATGAATAGACAAGTTATTTTGCCACGTCAACGACTGACTCATTAGCTGTTGCATACACAACAATGGAGAATATGGTGTTGCCACTAATTAAATCAGTTTGGACCAGAGATGAACAGCAAAAGGATATTCACAGATGTTTTATGTGATACAAGATGAAAAACATGTTCATTGCAAAACACGTATTCTGTGATACACGTATTTCTGTGCAATGCATTCATATAGTGAATTCTGTGGCTCTTTTGCAGACAGTCAGATATTTGATTTTCTTACAAACAGTCAGCATTTCCCTATACTAGAAGTGTTATGCTGGAGAGGAATTGTCACATGTAATTATTTGTCTAACCCTAAACACAAGGTGGTGTGAATTAGCATTTAGATGCACATTTATATGCTGAAAATATATTTTACATAAGCTGCCGCAGCAACTTTCATTCAAGTTGATTAATTCATGGTTGAACAGACTATTTTCAAAACAACACAGATGTATGTTTTGTAGAAACAACCCAGGTACGGGCCAACGATCTCCAAACTGCATGAGAATTTTAATTCTACAAGATGTGAAAAGGCAGTATCCCTAGAAATGTGTCATTTTCATAAACGGAGAAAAAACTACATTAAAACAAAAGGCAATTTATATACAAACTGGGAAGGGGCAGGTTCAGGACCTGTGCTGTTTCGATTTTTTTCAAATCCGTCAAAGGTCAAGCTCACGATGTATCCGAATGCAAACAAAGAAATGAATAGAAACTTGATATGCAGGAGACAGATATATAGATTCCATTTGTAAATGAGGAGGAATGATTGAAAACCAAAATATCCTCCCATATGTCTTAGTGACTTACTGAATCTTGTCTTTAACTCTTTGAACATTTTTCCAATCATTATAAATGTTGGTAGATGTCTTCATGCTTTGGTTTGGCATAGAGCAACCAATGCATTCTCTGACCCACACATAGGGGGCGCAACAAATACCAAATATGTGTACAAAAGCAAGTGGTCAAAAAATTCAGAAAATTTGATGTTTGTGCTGTGGAGACGAGCCCTCCGCATTTCTTCCTCGCTTGGATTTTATTCGTATCGATTGACCTGCTTCATACTGCTGAGCACAAAGGGATTAGAACTTGTGTATCGCTGCTTGTGGCTATTTACACATGTTCCTCTGCATCAATATATTAACAGCAACACACATTATGCTAATCTGGAATTAAAATCTCATTTTATAATGTATTATCATTATCATATAGGTTTTTGTTAGCCTTCAGCCCTCTCAGAAATGTCAACCTTAAATAAATGTATAATGTTGTCAGTCAGTTACATCAGTCTGTGCTTAAAATTTACAATTTAAATAATTAAATAATCTAGCACATATTGAATTATTTTATAATTTATTGAATATACTATCATGTAGTATGTAGCATCTCTATGAGTTTTGTATTTAAAATGCTTGGTTTATTGCTATATTATTATTGGTACATTTTCTAAATTTACATTACATTTACATTTCCTCGTAGGAATGTTCACTTTAAATTAGCAGAAGCAAGTTGGTCATATTGAATAATTTAACAACAATCTGTCTTGTGTCAAAACAATAGGCCTACAGGAACTATGTGAATGAGCATGGAGAGGAGCCAACACTGCCTGGCATTGACCTTTCCCACAATCAACTCTTCTTCTTAAACTTTGCTCAGGTAACAGATGCATGGATTCTTAAATCTTAAATTATGGATTGTAAAATGGATGGATTATTTTGTGATTAGATGGATGGATGATGGTTGGATGGAATGAAAGACTGGATGAATGGATGTTTTATGCATATGAATGGATACTGGTTTTAATTTGTAAAACATTTTCTGTTACAATGAGTGGATGGATGGATTTGATGATTTGTTGATTGGTGGGATGGTTGGAATATTTTGTGATTGGATGGATGAATGTTGGATGGAATGGTTCTATTTTGTAAAACACTTTGTGTTACAATGGGTGGATGAATTTATGGATGGATTTGTAAATTGGATGGATGGATCTTAATTGCTGTTTTTTCAGGTGTGGTGTGGGACACACAGACCAGAACAGGCTGTAAATTCCATCAAAGTCGATGTACACAGTCCAGGGAAATTCAGGTAAATCCAAACCAACAGTATTTTATTCAGTCAGTCATATGCTTGGGGCAAAGGGAGGGAAACACATTGCAGTGGTATCGTTCATGTAAATCCTCTCTATGTGTCACAGGGTACTGGGCTCCCTTCAGAACTTCCCAGAATTTGCCAAAGCATTCAACTGCAACAAGAGCAGCTACATGGTCCCTGACAACGTCTGCCGTGTGTGGTGATCCACAGACCTCTGGGACGAGGACTGTATTCACACATGGGGTCTTCCCCATCCGCCCTACAGTACCTCTCCCCTCTGACTGCTGGAGCACTCGTGTGTGGGGCTACAGGGAAGTGACCTGTAGCCCCTTGGCTCTTTACTGGATGGACCAGGGCTGGTGGACTGACACTGCAGAATGCACTTCCTCCAAGGACAGCAGCAGACTGAACCTTCACGGAGAACTGTCTCTCCGACTCCGATACTGTAGTTCATTCAATCAGCCTAATTACTCTGCTTCTCACTGGATACAATCACTCTGTGTATTTTTATTTTTCTCTCTCCATTTTCATCTGATTTTACTTAACATTTGTGATTCTGACAATGTGGATATGAGTGTGTGTGTGTGTGTGTGTGTGTGTGTGTGTGTGTGTGTGTGTGTGTGTGTGAGCGTGTGAGAGAGTGTGTGTTTCGGTCAAAATACTGTGCAAGTGGTTGGCAGGAGAGGGGCAGACAGACAAATGTGCTCAAACCCACTGGCATATGAATACGCTGCACACCCACTCACACTCATACACATGTAACAGGGCTGAACCACTGTACTGTATGTGGGCCTGAGCTGTATGCCTTTTAAAAACCCTCAGCTGGTTTCAGCCTCCATCTACACACTGACACACAATGTACTCGTATTGTACTCTTTGTTAATACATCGAAATAGATTCGATAAATTATTACAGAAAATCTGAATTTATTTTGATGAATAAACAGATAAGTAGTTAAGCGTGCTTATGTATTACACAATAATATAATGATATATATGAACATATATTTAATGATAAGGACTGCTGTTCATTTGCAGTACGTCAAGAACACCAAAATGAATTTTTTACCTTTAAGATAACAACTGATCAATAATCATTGAGCTGACAATCGACAGACTTCAGACCCTTTTTATATGTTCAGTGAGCCTCCTTTGTGTTTCTGTATGACTGTATGTATCCATGTATTTTCCAGTCTTTGTAAGTCATTATGAATGTTGCCTTTTGTTTGTCAAGCAAATTGCTTTGCCTTACATGGTCTGTGTGAGAGTGTCTTTGTATCCGCAGAAGAACAACAGACAGGAAATGTATCATTAAAAGAAAACATTTGTGTTTTTCACAAATACGCCTCTTAAGAGAAGACCTGTATCATATTGTCCGTATGCTTCGGCCAGCTGCCGGTTACCTTAGCTTAGCATGAAGACTGAAAACACCCAACCTGGCTGTGTTATGCCTCTAAGGCTTGTTAGTTAACACCTCAAAATCCTGTTTGTTTAATCAGCACAAATCAAAGTGTAAAAACACATCCATGGAGTTTCCGCTGGGTGCCTGGCAACCTGAGTGATGACCACCCTGCAAAGTTGGACCATTTCATTTAAATCTACGCCAGGATTAAATAAACCAATCATAATGTGCTAATTTGTAAGCTTTAAATATTTTTTCTTTTTACCTTAAGACAGACCCAGGCTAGCATGTTTCCAGTCTTTCTGCTTTAAGTGAATGTAACCTACTCCTGGCTGTGGCTTTAAAAAAAACCTGTCTGCAAGTAATGTCTGCTGCACACTAGAGATCTTTAAAATCTTAACTGATTAAAAAAATGACAGATGCGGCATTTTTAATCTTTTAATTGTGGGACCACACAGACACACACTTGGCGATCCAGTCGAGACGTAAGCCTACACACTTCAAATTCTAAGTGGTGCTTTCAGAGACTTAAGAACCCACAGGATCGGGCATGATCAAACATGACTTCAGGATAAAAACATAGTTGGAGGCGGACTGCCAGCGTTCAACAAGTTTGTCCTCCTTTTCTACTTTCCACCTGGTACAGGAAACAAAAATCTTATTTTCACTGTAGGCAGCCATGTTTCAGTTCTAAACACAAGTATGCAGCATCCGGTTGGTGATGCTTCCCTGTCAGCCCGATCTTACTGATCATCGCAGGTTTATCGCAGGGAGCTGAACTGGACCCCAAACACGACAGATTATCATCTGTGCAGCAGACATTGGTGAACCATTCCTTTCAGAAATGATCTCTGAGTTTGATCTTGGTTCAAATCACATGAAGTGTCATGTTAACATCTTTTTGTTCACGATTCTTTCACACACTGATGGAAAAAAGTAAATTGACACAGGACAATATGATTTTTAAGGGATGTTCTTATTGCATATTATTGCCAGATCATTTGCAGGAAATTATTGAACTTTTGAAAATTGCATGCATTTTTCTGAATGCAGAAGGTTATATGAAGTCAATGGAGTCCAATATGGCTTTATTTTCTAGGCTCAAATGCATCTGAGGCTGTGATCCAAGGTGCGGAAATGTTTGCCTTTTGCCTTTTTATATAAAGATTAGTGCAACGAATGATGTGCCCTGATCATGTAGACCGATTTTTTAAATCATACATCAACACTCTCCACATTCAGCCTCCATTGTAATTTTCCCCTATGTTTTATTCTCATCTTTGCTAGTGCAAGCATCCTGCTGCTCTCTTACTGTTCACCCCTCAGGCTTTCTTTCTTTCTGCCTCTCTCTCTCTCTCTCTCTCTCTCTCTCTTTTTCTCTCTCTCTCTCACACACACCCCACCTGTAGAAAGACAGATATACCTCAGTTGCCTGTATTTAGATACTTTATAATAATGACTGATAATCATCTTGAGGAGCATTTTTGTTTTTCTTTCAAAATAAATCTTTAAATTACACACTTGAGTCTTTGAGCAAGTCGTATTGCAAGGTGTGTGTGTGTGTTGTCTTGTGTGTATTCATCATCTTAAACCTGATGTTACAGGCAGACAGCCTCAAAATGAGACATATCCTTTATTGTCTGATTTAAACTTTCCACTGCAGAACAGTGTGAGCATACTAAATATCTCGGTGGTGCTGACTTGACTTGATTATTTCCAGGAGACTTTAAACATATAGAGATTTTATTGAAATGCACACTGTGATGTTCTTAAAATATGGTTGAACTATTGAGACATTCCTTTGTTATGATCCACTCATTATACATTATTATTGACCTGAGGGACAGTAGTTAGAATACAGGGATTTCTTTTAATTTTGTAATTTCCATAGAGACAGGAAAAAAGTTTAAATGCAGCATTTGCTAAACTCTTTCCCAGCTGATTTGACCTACAAGCATTGGGGGGAATAAGGGCTAATGTTGATTAAAGCCACAACGCAAAGAGATTAATGTTAAATATCTTTATGGCTGCTCGTGAGATTCCTACTGATAAATATACCCCATGCTGCAATGCAGTCAGTAATGAACAGAGAATAAGAGGAAAAAATAAATTATTAAGAGGTTCAGAGGTAAAAGAGAGAGATGTGAAGAGAATTACAACACACAAGATGTATAGTAGGAGGAACAGAACGGTCAATCTCTGAAACCAAGTGTCAACAATGTTTTGATTAATGGGGGAGCGGCTCACGGGCAAGAGCCGACACATACTTGTACAAATATACAGTCTTAAAGTTGGGAAGTTCACAACCTTTATTTTACTTATTTCTTAACTTGAAGAAGGTTTTACCATAATATAAACTTCAACCTATTAGAGGTTTATGGTGCATTATTTCAATAAACAATCCTAATGTGAATACCACACCTCCGATTCGTGGAGCTGACCGACAGCTTTTTATGGGATTTGCTCCACATTCCACAAAATGTTGGCAATACATGAGTCTAAAATCAATACAAGACCACCTCTCCCATATGTTTATCTGGTCCATAAATTGGATTTAACTTGTAGCAATTGTGTGTTATCACATTTACATGTCTCTGAGGCTCATTCATACATCGTTTCCAGCTTAAAATCAGTTTGTGTCTGCTTATTCGCTGCCTGGCTTCCCCCCCTCACTGCACTCTCTGTCTGGTAGCACTTCGGTATATAAATGTAAAGTCACACCCCCCACTTTCTCTCTCACCCTCCCTGTCATTAGCGGTTTAGCTAACTAACGTCACAGCTAACATTACAACACCTCAGCATGTTCCTGGGAAAGTGTTTTGCTCTTTGAGCGCTCTGGCCCGCTGATGTTTTACCCTGAAGTAACAGAGCACGTGGGATGTTATTACGAACAAGAAATGAGACTTGATTGAAAATACATCTTTCTGTGGAATAAGCATAATTTAACTTGTGCCCTTAAAACCTTTCACCATAGGACCATTTCTAGAAAGTCACCCATGCTGGAACTTTTGTTTGTGCTCTCAATACAAATGTGTTCCCCCCACCTTTGCCCTCTGGTCATAAAACGACTCAGCTTTCCTTCATGTGTCCTTTGGGCGACCCTAACAGTCAGGGGTGGGGGGCATGCAGCCCCAGGAATGCCTGTGTGTGTGTGTGCGGAGTCTGAGGTGTTAGAAAGTGTGCACACACACACCAAACACACACCCTGTGCACAGACACATATATGTGCAAATTATAGGATCATAAATTAGAAAGTGTTTGAGATAATTAGTGTGTGTCATGCAGTTACACACTTGACTCTAAAGGAGCTTTTATTGTGAAGTGGACTATCGCTGTTCCTATTATAAAAGGTCATTGATAAATTGTGATTTCAACAGGTTGAATTTTGTTTTAAGTTTTAATGGCCTTGATTTTAATACCAAACCTCTTTCAGGTACTTGCATATGGAAAATATAATGTTGTGTAAAATGGCGACATCCTGTGGATGTTCAACATAATCATATGATATAATTAACAATAATGTTTCAAATAGCAAATATAAAATTAGCTGACATCTGTTCTCACTTCTTCTTCACAGTTTAAGATGTGTTGGCTTATTTACTTTAAGACACAGGTTTTGGTACTGACAGCTAACTATTTATTATTTATTTACACAGTAAATCAGCCTGTCTCTGTCTCTCTCTTCCCCACAAAAGAACACATTTAACCCGTTCAGTCCCATCCATTAGGTTTACAAATCCAGTCTTGATGGAGAGGATTGTAAAGGTGGATAAACTGCTGTGGTTACAGTAACAATTGATCCTCATTTTGCAGCAGACAGGTGAGAGATCAAAATCATGACTTTAACATCTTAGTGCACTCGGTGACACTGTAGACCGTGCATTTCTAATGAACTACCTCTAATTTGACTCTGGCATGAAGGTCACAGCACTTAATTGGTTCAGCTCACATAACACATTTCTGTCAAAATGGGAAATGCCACTCCTATTTTTGATGTGCAACTCTCCCTTGGGCTTCTCTTTGTAACAGCTTTCATTTTGATTTCCATTAGGGTGGTCCCATTAGGCCAATTAATCCATAAGCAGGAGTTTAGTAGTTTCTTGCATTTTAATACACATAAGATACCCAGATAAACTAGACTCAAAGTATCTTGTACTGGTATAAACTTGCAGACTTGAGTTTTTATCATCTGACAAATCACATTTGAACCTGTGAAGTCAGGACTGTTTTCAATGCTCATATAAATGTGTTGCTTTCATGTCATTGCCTTGTTGAAGGTGCAACACAATAACAGCACTTTACTCTTTCATTGTATGATCTTTTGAAGTTTTTATTGAAAGCACAGCTGGATCTGCCCTAAAGCTACTGTGATTACACACTTGTGAATTCTGTATGAGTCAGTGAGCAGCATCCAATTCACATGCAGTGCCCTTGGTTCCAAAAACAAGTTAAAGACCAAAGGAGACCTGGTTTCACCCTCATCACCCCTGGCCCTGCCTTAGGCAAGGTTGTTTCTATACCATGTCTATCCATGGCATTCTACTGCTACTGCACTGTATTGCTACTACGTTAGTTTAGTTTTAGCTTACATTCTTTTAAAGACATTAAAACATATTTTAGAGACGTGCTCATATTCAGGTTCATAATTCTAGATAAAAGCCTCTATCTCTTTAAGGCCCCCCCTTCTGACAAAGCCTAGTCTGTTCTGATTGGCTAGTTGGCCCACATTGTGATTGGTCAACCACTTCCATCGCATGTAAGTTATGTTGGCTGTAATCCGCTCTTGTTTTACAAGGCTTTGACGGGGGTGCAAGAATAGATGCTAGCCATTCATTTTGCAAATGTGAGGAATTGTGATGACACATGACTCTTCACAATTCCTGGAATTATCGACTGGATAACTGACGAGCTGGGGAAAAACTGAAAAAAGCACAATATGCCTCCTTACCTATTTCCTTTTTAAAACGACTTTACCAAGCTGCATTATGCACAGATTACTATGTATATTACTAACAGCTATGAGTACTGTGAGGAAGGGTTTTCCCCAAGCCCTAACTAGACTAACTTACTCTGCATAAAGCAAAAGAACGGGGGCAGCTAAATACATTTCTCACATGATGTAAGGTGCACCACATTATATAGATCCAGATTTAGAATACAATATGTATTCTGCATACTGCAAATAATTACCATGAACTAAAAATGTAAATTCTAAAACATAAAATGAAAAAATATGAACCTACAAACAATATCTGAAAAAGAAACCTCATTTCACACTGCTATTTACTTCATTGTTGTTCAGGATATTTAAAATATTTATGAAAAACACTATATTAGCCTCATTTGAAAATAGAACATCTGTTACTTTTGGGTCCCAGTCACGTATTTTCTCCAAATGACTTCATTCCACTGAGCAAACAGCAGTACAATTTGACTAGTAGACACAGAGCGTTAATGTACCACTCCTGGCAAGCTGTATTACACAGCACCATGTGGTGGGCTTCCATAATGATATGTGAGGACAGAAATGTCAAACTAAAGCTGGCTACGAGAGTTGTGAAGTGCGTGTGTGTGGCAGTGAGAGATCATTAAAGAGACTGAGCATGTTAACGGCATAAACACACAATTATGGTACAAGTTACAAACATCCTGATGCTACACTGTCATGTTTTCCTACCTGAACAAGTGCGTGCCGTGTTTATGCATCTAACATGTTTCTGCCAACCGTAATGCATGGCTGTGCTACAGAAAGTTTCCATCGCTACCTCATTACTCATGTTTGCATCTGTTGTACATGTTCATCATAACACCATGAGCATAACCTTATTTAGCCTGTGCTGGATTATAAGGCTTCCACCCCCTGCTTTCTTGAAAGTGGAATCTAAATAATCCTCAGATGACAGTGCTTCTATTACAGATTTGGAGGCCGAGTTGTGATGACAACTTAATTCATAACTTATGACCTGAAACGTTGGGCAAAGAGACTTGTTTGATTACTTTGAAATTAAATACTATCAGAATTACTGCTTAATGAAGCTTTTTCGGTGTGTGCCAAAAGTAAGACAATGCATTGAATGCTTACTTTTGATAAACCAAATCAGCAGACACTGCACATAACAATTAAAAGTGTTTAAGAAAGGGAAGGTCCCCACCCAATTTTCTTTCCATTTCTTTTCTCTTCACATCCTATGAGATAGTGGGACCACTCAAGAGGACAGACTTCTGGTAGCCATGGCAACACCATCACCAGTCCTAACACCCAATATTTTTGATGGCCAGCTGTGCGACATGAATATACAAAGGACACACACACCCAGAATATAGTCACATACACTTAGCCATATGCATCTCATTTTGCAACCTCTTGGTCTGTAATTTTTTTTCTACTCGGGCTCTCCTGAGTGAAGCACAGCAGCCTGAATACATAAATACTCAAATGTATCACATCTGACATCGTTCATAGAAAAGACT